ACATGTTCTGGTCTTTCAGAAGACTTACTTCCAGTTAGGTTTTTGTGTCTTTAAGATTTGTAGATTTTGTATTGCCCAGGATCACACCAGCCTCTCTGTAGTGGTAGGTATTAGATTTGATGCCTTCTAGTCTGGTAAAAAAAAATAACATTTTCATAATAAGTTTGCATGTATTYTAGTGTCTGCATTATTTGATTTCTAAATTCCCTTGGAAATCTTGTCTGAAGATAAGTTAGTCTTAGAAGCATGCTCCTGCTTAGCAGTTTGCTCAGACAGCTTCTCTGTTGGTATCTTAATCACTTCATTATTTTGATAACCTGGAGAAAAATTTCTCTGAGATATGTTTATACATTATGAACTTAGGCAGGTAAACTGTGCAGGTTCTTTGCAACATACTTCCTAATGCTTTCTGTTCTGAGGTCTGCAAACTAACTAGATACCTTGTAGATTATTTCTAACATTTAAACTTGAAAATTATTTTTGTATATTTAACTGATTCTTCTGCAAGTATTATTTAATCTTCCTTGTTTTTATTTGACATTTTATCTCTGTAGGTTAGGCCCCTCTTTGCTAGTGTCATTAAAATCAGAGTTATGATTGCTGAAGGATTTTTTTCCTTGAGTAATCTCTTATTTCTTGCTAAATAACACTTCCTATTGCTAATCTGCTTAATTTTTATTTAAAGGTGTATTTTTTTTCTTTTCATCTAAGCTTCACTAGTTTCCATGCCAACTTTCATGGCTTTTAATTTATTGTCTTATTTTTACCCCAAGGAGGTTGTAGCTGTACAACTTTCTTGAAAGCCTCTTAAAAATAGCAACTAGTACATGGCCTTCCTTTCAAGTTCTTCACAGTAAGTGGTGGAGGCTGGGTGCTGACTGATGGCTCTCGTAGTTTAGAAACACCTCAGAGATACCAATGAAATGATGGATTGTGAGAGACAAATCAGGGCAAAGGCATTGCCACCCACAACACACAGCAGCAACGTTTCTGAAAAAAGTTTGATGGGCTTCAATTTCTCAACACCAAACAGGATCGCAATAACCATTAATTAGTGAAAATCACCAACATCTAAAAGATTCCCAATGTCACCAGGGCTCTGTAATTATCTCATTAGACTTCATTACCTCTGATCATATTTAACATTKTCATTTTGAGACCATTTTCCTCAATGAGAGGTTCCTGATATGACAAATAGAGGGAGAAAACTTGTGATTCYCTTTTGTGATTTTCTGCTCCCAGGGATTTTGTCTCACRAGATGGCATGGACTTGTTCAGAAGTGTTGCTTCTGCCCCATTTCCATTCTAAATAGATATTCTGTACAATTGATCAATCTTGTTGAACAAGTTTGTACAACCACCTTGTTTTTATTAGCYATGATCTTTAAATTTCTTTAGCATTTAGTTCTATGGTCCTGATCTTCCCATTTTTTAACTCAGCTGTACTTTCCACCCCATCTTATAACACATGAAGACTTAAATTACTGATATTCTTTGGAAATCTTTTATGTATAAAAACTAAGTTTATTAGTTTTGTCTACCGGTTATCCATGCTATCTTAAGTTAAATAAATATTTTATAGGTTGGATAGTTTATTGTTCCTGTGGCGTGTTTTTTAGGAAATGGTATTATCTATCCATTTCATACAGTTGGTCTTTTTTTCAAACCAATTGTTATGTTTACATTTAAAGCTTTCCTCTTTTGATCTCTCTGTGCATGGAACTATACCACTTTCTATGTCAAGAAATTAACTAATGTAAATTTCCATTCAGTAAATTTATATTCAGTAAATTAACTCTGAAGTGTTAAGGGATTGACAGCAGTAACTCCCATAGACAGTTGCATCTTATACCTGCTCTCTCACTGACATTTAGGAGAGCAGAGATGTCCATTTATATACAGAAATTTATATATCTATRTATGTTTAAAATGCACATATACATACTTTTATACATAGATATACATATATACATAAAAATGAATTGAGTATTTCATATCCAGAAAGAAAACTGAAAGGGAGAAAAGCTCATGTCAAGTATCTAATTGGGCTTGTTTGGATCAAGGTAACAGACACAAAGGAGCCAGTTAGAGGCAAAGAGAAATGGAAATAATGAGGTCAAACTCTTCCTATAAAYGTGCAGGTCTTTCTACGTAGGCCTGTGGAAAAATGCTATATGAAAATAACACAAGAGAAACAACTAGAGACCTTGTATTAAGTTGCTTTATTTTCTAGAGTTGTGTGGTTTTAAGAGCTTTTTTTCTTTATTTAATTTCAGTAGTCTGATTGTTCTTTATTTTTTCATGAGCTAATGCAAGAGGGACATTAGTCTGTGCAGTTTGAAAAAAAAAAAAAGCGCATATAATTCCAGTGTGCACAAACTGAATACAAAGAGCATAAATAGAAAAGCACCTCTGTCATCAGGGACATAAGGATTCAGAAACACACTATAATGCTGAATAAACAAGGCCAGAGGTTTCACATCCAGTCCAGCTCTTTCCAAAAGCTGTTGCTTTTCAAAGATAAAAAAGAAAGCTAATCTGTGGCCATCATCACAAGTTCTGCAGCAGTTAATGAGTTTAAATTGGATTTAAAAACAAGTCTGGTGAACGTACCCTTTGCTTTCTATATATTTTAACTCCTATATTTAAATGATAAAATGCAATTACTGTTTTTCTTTTATTTTGCAAATACAGTTTCTCAGAATATATTTTAGGCCTATGAAAGATTTTCAGCATGTAATGTGACTATCAGAATTTACCCTTCACTGTAATACAGAATTACTACTAAATTCGATATACTAAATATCTACATGATGTAGATACCAGGATGTGATGGTCCCATTTTTCATCTGAAGTGAGCAGGCGAGGATCAATCAGCTCTTGCATTTGGATATACCAGTTAATATTTTTATTTAATTTGTGCACCTCAAAGATGGCCTGTGATGTGATTAACAGATATTAACAATAGTTTGTAATCTCTTTCCTTCTCCTAAAAGAGTTAATTTTTAATGGGCTTTTGTTTGGTAGCATAACTCTGAAAACAAAAACTTCTGTTTATGTTAGAAGAGGCCCTTTGAAAAACTACATGGGGAACATCCTCATCTGTAACAACTTTATCAGGTTTATCTATGTTGAGGGTTCTTTCATCTTCCTTTGTGGAACATTCAGTCCTAAGTGTTCCTCATAAAGGAATAAATGACTGCTTTCAGAGTAACTGTATTGACTTGCTTCTTGTACTACTTATAGAGGCAGTTTCTTCAGATATGTTTGCTACACTTTAACTAATTTATAACTGTAGGTTTAGTGTGATGGGTGCAGTAATAGCAACATTACAGTGTGTTTTGATGCTGTCCTGAAAGTGTGAGATAAGACAGGTATGTGCCTGTAAATGACAAATTGAATTTTATTCTCAGATTCCTCAACTGATGGGATTCCTGATATCCAATAAAAACTGAGCTTGTTTTCAATGTGGAACAGGTTTGTGGAGTAGTTTCTTACTTCATTGTCTGAAATTCTCATTGGATTCTACAGGGAGTATCTTCAGGATATTATGCTACACATAGCCTAGATTTAAAGCTTAGAGGGAAGCATTAATTAGTTTTAAGATCCCACATGAGTTCATTGTAGGATTAGAGGTCTGAGTGCTCCTGTATTTTTTTGATAACTGTTATTTACATCAGCTCACACACAGCCACAGGCACAGCTTAGAAGACCCAGATAAGAAGTTGCCAGGAACTCCTTCTCCAGAATGTGCCCTCTTTTTATTTATTTTACCCAGTAATTTTTCACCAACTTTTTACAGATGCATCATTTGCATGTTTCTTCCCTGACACTGATAACTCTTTCCCCCTGACACTTAAACATTCACTTTCCCTCCTCCTTCATTTTTAAAACATTTCTATTCCTGTCCTTCCCCCACAACCCCTGCCTTGTCTTCTCACYTCAGGTGGACAAAGAATCAAGTTGCTTCCTCATCTTTTTGTTAATTTTTGTCATGTGTTTTTCTGGCTCCCCATGAGAAGAGGAAAGGGAACTGCTGGTCTGGTAATTGCTGTCCACTGGAACCAGTAAGAGATGGTCTGCTGACAACTGGAGCAAGTAAGAGTCAGCCTGGAGAGGAAACAAGCTCCAGTGGTTGGTGACAGCATTGAAGCTGTTGCTTTTTGTTTGCATCCACATTTTAAATTGACTGCTCTTCACAATGGCCAGAGATTCATACCACCTTGCTAAACCCCAGATGGGGACACCTTTCTTCTTCCCCCAGCACTGAGCAAGTTCTTAAGCCACAAATGACCTTTGGGTGTCTGCATTTCTGGATGCTTCACGTAAGACATTTTAAGAAAGAATTGATCTTCAGAAGCTACTGCTCAGGGCAYTGAACTGCTGGTCCTGGCACACTGGTTTTAGCAGTGCACCCCAAATTTGAAGTGGAACACTTCACTGATTGTATTTGCGCATGCAGAAAGCAAGCCTGCAGCTTGCTAGCAGTTACTTCGTAGGCAAATAAACAGAGGATGAAAATTATACTTGTGGCTCCTTGTAGGTCATTTACCTTTTGCCTCAGCTGAGAGAAAAAATAGTCACATGCAAACCTTTCTAGCCCTTTTTTTAGATAGATAACTGTTCTCCATACAGAAAACTAAATTGGCTGTACATACATTTCTACATATAGATTTAGTTGTATTCTTGTGTTCTGTTTTTTTGTTGAAGCTGACCTCTCCTTTTMCCAATCCATTTCCTAGTGTCAGCCCTCTGCACACAGCTCACCTGAACTTTCAGTGTTTTCCAGGAACCACCTGAGCAYTTCCTAACTCAGGATGATCATACCTCAGGGCAAGCTGGCACCAACACTTCACCATCTGGTAAAAATCCAATGAAAATATGAATTCAGGACAGCAACAGAGAAAGAAATTTTCTSAGAGTTGAGTTCAATGTTATTTATATTAGAACTGTTACAATTTCGTAAAATAATTTTGTGCAAAATCTGGATTTTCTGTATTCTTGTATTTTTCTTCAATACTTCACACCCAGAGCAGTGGGAAACCAGCACTAACTGGCTTTTTATACCCGTGATACAACAATAGCTGTTTCTAGGTTTGCTGAGAACACACACAAAAGAGACCAGCAAGATTTTATGACCTTTTTGTAGAACTGTGAAATACAGAATAGTATTGTGTTTTATTTATGAGTGCTGCTGTAATACAATATTCCATTAAAAAACAAGAAACATTTTATTTTATTAATTTCATTTTCCACCATGTGGATTTAATTAGCAATTAAACAGTACAGATGTGAATGTACAATGATGAGTCAACTGTGGAATTTGAGATAAATGTCAGCTGGAGCTTGTAATGTATTATGTGAGCTTAGCTCTGCCTAATTTGAGTAGAAACAATAGGGTGAAAAGCCTTATCCTAAATTATAAATAAATAAATAAACATACAAACAAAATKATGTCTATTTCAATATATTCCTTTTAAAACTTGTGGAAACATCATGTCTAACAATATTCCCTGAAAAGTGAAATTCAACGTAAGTAGTAAAGTGACGTTTATTTTGTTCCGTAACAGGAATTACACACCTGATTGTTTGCATCTGAATCCTCAAAGGGTCCGGCAGGAACCGACAAGGGCTGGTAAGAGCTACTGCTGATCCTAACACCTTATGCCACATTTTTTATTCACTGAGCTTCCCAGTGCMCCAGCTTTTCAGCTCTCCACTCTGAAGTAACAAAGGATTGACTGCAGGATCACTGCAATCCTAAAAAACAAACCCCAAAACAAAAATACAAAGGGCGAATGTTTGCTGCTCTTTATTCACTTTATGAATACTGCATACATAGTATAAAAAAACTCAAAGCAAATAGTTGTAGTATCAGTCTGTAATTCTCCAGGTCTGCTGGAGAATACCAGGAAGGGTGTTTTTTTGTTGATTTTTAAAAGGATCTAGCACTACAATAGTTCATGTTGCAGATCTTTCTTGCTTTCAAATAAAGAAGTCTAGATAAAGATTCTCATCTTACAGCTCATTAAAAAAAAAAGGTTAGTGAGGGAACAAATGCCTTTTCTTAACACTTAGCGKTCAGTTCCACAACCAGTTTATATAGACAGAGCTTCATTCCTAAGACCACATGAATGGAGCTCACCATCAGATTTAATGGCAAATACAATTTAATGGGAAATACAAAGCTGCTGTGAAAATGAGAAAACTATTTACTCTGTACAATGAACAAAGCCAAAGTTGTTCTACCAGTTACACAGGCAATGAAGCATTTGCAGTATGAATTTATATCCAGAGTCCTTTGACTAGGGGAACTGTTTGCATGTGTTACAAAATAACAGGAGTTACAAGATTCTCCAAATTTTTCAAATCGACTTCTTATTTAGTACAGAACCAAGAATTCAGAAATCTGGGTTTTATGTTGCCAGTAAAAGGCAAAAAAACTTAGTTGATTTTGGCTATGAACACTTTTTGTCCCCAGTTTTCTGGTGTATACATATACACTGTTGCTCTCTTGCTTGATGCTTTACAGCTTTGCTTTTGAGACAGTGTCTTAAATTCAATTGTTTATTTTAATATAATGATCTACCTTTATGCTTATTTATTGTGATGCCTTTTAAAGTATTACTTTATCAAAATGTAATAATAATAAAAACTGTAGGTATTTTAATTTACCCAAGTATTATAGTAATACTGTTTTCCATCCTATGAAATGATTTCTTTATCTTCAGTAGGAGCTGTTGGTGCTACTGTGCAGCTGCTGGTTTGTGCAAAACCTCTGTGAAGGCCACAGACCATTCAGAGGAAACTGTTCAACACATGACTCTTAAAAGGAGCTCACCTGAAGAAGCTATTATTCTGATTACATTGCTCTGCTGTAAGAAAAAACTGSTAAAAACCAGAATTGGGGAGTAAGACAGATATGACTGACAAACAAGGASGTGCAAATATATAGGCACCAGTGCCCTTGGCCAGTCGAGACAGGTGAGGTGACATACATGACCTACCTTCCTTGGGATTTGTTGCTGAGAAATTGATGAAATTTACCTGCAGTGGGCTATTGTGAAACATAGATAACCTATAGGATCAGGAAAAAATATACAATGAGAATGAGATATTCCAATTACTGAAAAGCAAGTTTTGACACTTAGAATATTCAMACTCCACTTGCTTACATGTTCTTAGCAATCTGGGAAAAATTCTGCTATGAAAAAGAATGAAACTAAGTCAGTTCAGTGGATGGTACAGATAATATGGAAGTAAATTGCAATGCTGCAATGATTGTTAGCAATAATTTAAACTTCTGTTAACTGGACATAATTTTGCTTCATTCATTTCTAAGTATTTTCCCTATAATTTCAGTGCTAGTTTACCTGATAGTGCAGTTTTATTACACATCTGGAAGTCTCATAAATTTCAAAGAACTGTAAAACAAAAACCAACCACAATCACTCGGAAARTTGTTTGTTTTAAGGTTCAGGGTTCCAGTTTCACTAAAAGGAAGGACTACTTTAATTCCATGTGTACAGAGACATTGCCTCCAGCTACACTTAACAAATACAGCCTAATAAATTTCAAGAACCAAACATCAGTAGAAGCTAATTTTACAAYAGAGACCTGTTCTCTACTACTGAAAGCTACAGTTGGAGCTGTTGGTGCTACTATGTACCAACATTTCATTTAATTGATCTGCTTAAAAAACAAATTGGTCCACATACAAAATAAAATGGGCAAAAGTAATTGTAAGCTGAGCAAACATTGTCCTTTTTATTCAGTTCCAGCTGTAGTGGTCTCTTGGTGGTAAATCATAATGTGATCTCTCKTCCTCTTCAGGTCCACAATCTAGTGGCAGACCRTAATTGTAATCAACTGTTACAACTGGTAATCGTTTACTTTGTTCCATGTTTTGGGTAGTTTCACATTGAAAAGGCTTTCTTTCATAGTCCATTGAGCCATCTTCTTGGCGCATGCATGAAGATGGGTGCATTGTTCGTGAAGAGTATGGTGCAAATCTGTTTTTTCCTCTATTAAATTCCTCTGAGGGATGCATTCTCCTATTGTCTTCAGGACAATTTGGTCGATTACTGTAAGAACAAATATGAACAGTGAAATTCTTAGAAATAAAATAGTTGATTTA